AGAACATTCATGTGAGCATTAAACAATGGTAGATTTAGCTGTGACTATTTTGACTTACAGCAGGCATCATGTAATATTCCATTGCCATGGTGATGACATTCAACCCAATTACTCCAGCAATGGCAAGGTCAAAGTATTTGCTAATGACAACTGCATGGACAAGAAGACGACCTTTGCAATAATTGGCCCAGTAGGGAGGTCTGTTAAGCTCTGTAAAAAACAAAAAACTTGCTTTATTGTGCATTTGAATTTTTTTCAATTGAAGTTAACCTATCTTCAATTAATTGTACATATCTTCAATAATAATTTTAACATTTATGATAGAATGTTATTTTTTGAAAGAAATTTGGTAGCCTTTCATTTCACATGCTAGTGGCCAGTGCCGAGACAGGTACATAGATACTAGAGTAATGTTATTTTTCTAACCAATACTTTTGGCATGCCACTGTACCGGCTTCTAGAAAAAATTTATGATAACAAATGCTGGTAATCTGGGTCTGGCTTAACACAACAAATTACTGATGGCACTGCACTGGGTCTAGCTTAACACAACAGATTACTGATGGCACTGCACTGGGTCTGGCTTAACACAACAAATTACTGATGGCACTGCACTGGGTCTGGGTTAACACAACAGATTACTGATGGAACTGCACTGGGTCTCGCTTAACACAACACATTACTGAGGGCATAACACTTGGTCTGGGTTAACACAACAGATTACTGATGGCACTGCACTGGGTCTCGCTTAACACAACACATTACTGAGGGCATAACACTGGGTCTGGGTTAACACAACAGATTACTGATGGCACTGCACTGGGTCTAGCTTAACACAACACATTACTGACGGCATAACACTGGGTCAACACAACAAATTACTGATGGCACTGCACTGGGTCTAGCTTAACACAACACATTACTGACGGCATAACACTGGGTCTGGGTTAACACAACAAATTACTGATGGCATTACACTGGGTCTGGCTTAACACAACAGATTACTGATGGCACTGCACTGGGTCTAGCTTAACACAACAAATTACTGATGACACATCACAGGGTCTAACTTAACACAATAAATTACTGATGGCATTACACTGGGTCTGGGTTAACACAACAGATTACTGATGGCACTGCACTTGGTGTAGCTTGTCACAGCCAAACACTAAGGGCTTAATGCATTACAATGAAGGCACAAAATGGATCTGGTTTAACACAACACAATACACTCCTCTTCATTTCTGGGTAAAATTTTACTTTACAAAATAAAGGAACACAATTTTATCTGCAGCACACGCTGGGCATTTCTGACATCTGTATGTGAAACAACTTTTATTTGTCAAGGGCATATGGAAAATCTATATTAAGTTTTTATCCCATAACTAACACTGTTATTAAGAACAAAAGGCACTTTGGGCCTGCTTCTGTTGTCACATTAAAAAAGTGAAAAAATCTGTACAATAACTTAAAACCATGGCAGCCATCTCAAACATTTCTCTATTTCAGGCTCTGTCTCACTAATCCCAAGGACATCTCACAGTGAATCTTGCTGAGACTCCTATGCATATGTATAGTGTTCTATGGCAGTGATCACAATCACTCTCATGTATTGACTTCAGAATAAGTCCCAAGGAGCAGGGCAATATCTTGGGTCTAATCTCTGTATAATGCTTGTTTTCTTTTCTTCATGCCTAGTGTTAACTGTTAACCTGTATCTCCATTCAGCTCTGAAAGCTGACCTTTGGCCTAAACTCAAAGATTTGCACTGTTGGTTCAAATAGTGTACCTATTCTAAAATAAATATAATAAGCACATAAAATTTTATAAGAAATTAGATGTAAACTAGAACACTGACAGGTCAGTAAGGGCCCCGTCTTGTGGCAATATAACCTCCATAATCATCAAGAAGCAATCTGCCCATATAGCTGAGCTTGACGTTTGACATTTGGACTTCAAAAAGAATCGCAAGTTCATTTTACATGTACTATGATGTGAGTCTTGTTTCCTTTCACCTCCATAATTGCCGGGCTAACAGAAATGTAAATACCGGTGCAATACTCATTTGTTAGCTTTGATTTGTTTTATTTCCCCTTATATCCCTCCTCCATCAAGAGCCAGGGTCAAAGTCAGAGTTCCACTTTGTCTTTGACCTTTGGACCCAAATGACCTTGACCATTAACCCAGTGACCCTGAACTTTGATCAGTTGACTTATTCTTTAATTCCAACCAACTTTGCTTCTTGATGTCATAACAAAATGTTCATCAGTGAAAAATACAAAACTTGACCTTGACCCTTTGGACCCCATAACCTGGACCTAATGTCAGTTGACTCTGTGTTAAGTTCTGAACAACATTGCTTCATAATGTCATAACAAAATGTTCATCAGGGGAAAAGGTACAAAATTTAACCCTCACCTTTGATGAAGTGACCTTGACCTTTGGTCAATTGACTCCTTGTTTAATTCTGAGCAACATTGCTTCATAGTGTCATAGCGAAATATTCACCAGTGAAAAGATACAAAATTTAACCTTGACCTTTGACCCAATGACCTTGACCTTTAGTCAGTTTACTCCTTGTTTAATTCTGATCAACTTTGCTTCATCATGTCATAACAAAATGTTCATCAGTGAAAAGATGCAAAATTTGACATTGACCTCTGAACCTAATGCCCTTGACCTTTGACCTTGACTTTTTACCTCAATGTGTATTTTTGTGAACTGAACATCTTGACCAAGTTTCATGTACATCGGTCAATAAGTACCAAAGTTATCAGCCAGGAACAAAATTTGTGGACGGACAGACAGACAGACAGACAGACAAAGTGATTACTATAGGGCACCTGTATCTCCGATACGGGGCTCTAATAACAGTAAAAACCTATGAAACAGTATAGACCTATGTAACAGTATATACCTATGTAACAGTATAGACCTATGTAACAGTAAAGACCTATGTAAAAGTATAGACCTATGTAACAGTATATACCTATGTAACAGTATAGACCTATGTGACAGTATAGACCTATGTAACAGTATNTATAGACCTATGTAACAGTATAGACCTATGTAACAGTATAGACCTATGTAACAGTATAGACCAATGTAACAGTATAGACCTATTTAACAGTATAGACCTATGTAACACTATATACCTATGTAACAGTATAGACCCATGTAACAGTATAGACCTATGTAACAGTATATAACTATGTAACAGTATATAGACATATGTAACAGTATATAGACCTATGTAACAGTAAAGACCTATGTAACAGT